ATGGACAGAAATATGCTGTCCTGGATCTACGGCAGTTTGGTCTACAGCATCAAGGGAGCGTCTCTTTCTCTTCCTTTGAGAAAAGCCATCGATGAGTTGTTTGGCAAGCGCCAGCCTGAAATCTATCAATGGTTTCTTACGCCGTCCTCCACGATGAATGTTAAACAGGACATAGGCATTACAAATAGACAAATTAAATAAAAACCAGAAAATATATCTGTACCACTTTCGTGATTGCCAGCCTGCATAGTAAAATGAGCGAAGCTGATCTGCGCGATCAACTCCTCCCATGAAAGCGGTGTAAACATCGGCAACTCGCGGCTTTTGAATTTCGATAACATTGCCTTTTTTCTTTCGCGGCACTGGTCGGGAGGGTTCACTGTGAGAAACATTTGTCGACAAGAAAGAAATATCTCGCTTGTCATGCCATTTAGTGAATACTAGAGGGCCACGCTGTGCAGTTACAATGTCTCCTTGCTTAAGCTTTCGTTTCGCACATGGCGGCAAGTCCTTCCTGTTGCAGCGAACAGTTCCACATGCGTAGGTGTTCTGAGCAAGAAGACAATCAAACAGAAAAGAACTTGAAAAGAAATTGTCAAAAAATATGTGCCTGTTTTTATTTAGGAAAGGAGTCGCCATTTTCATCACGACGTCATATCCAAGGCCATGAATGCGATGTCCGTTTGCTTCTTGTCCGAGGTAAACAGAAAAATTCGACACGTAGCCATTGCTCGAATCTGCCGCCATCCAAACTTTGATGCCATATTTCGTTGGTTTAGCGGGCATGTACTGGCGGAATGATAGCCTTCCTTTAAATGCTATCATTCCCTCGTCAATCGAAAGGTTTTTCGACGGCTCATAAACATTTTGAATTTTCTCCAAAATGTTATCGATGATCGGACGCACTTTGAATAAGCGGTCATAATTATCGTCACCGCGTGGTGGTTCTTGAGAAGAATCGTTAAAATGAAGGAACTGACTAATCTCCTCGAATCTGTTCTTGGTCATAATATTTTGTATGCCGCTATTTCCAATAAATGAATCGGACGACCAATACATCGAAATTCTTGGCAAGCTGTTTATGCCCATTATAATGCACATACCAAAGTAAGCATTAAGTTCTTGAGCAGTGACATCTTTCCACTTGTCAAGACTCGTTCGTTCTTTTGCCAATTTCTTCCGCGCGTATCGGTTGGTTTCTCGGACCATTAAATCGATAATGGAAAGGTCAAAAATCAGGTTAAAAAAGAATTTTTCGCTCGCTTCATT